GCCATATGAGATTATGAAGCCTAATTTTCTATTAGAGGGATGACCTTTTAATTTCTTGGAGTAGCAATATGCTGGATTGTTCAAAAAACATACTGTACAAATATATAAAAGCGAAGAAAGGAAAAAAACCTTCATCTTCAACTAATGGAGCCTCCTCAGCTGCCTCTGAGATGGACCTTTCAGAAACCAAGGCAGGCTGTGGTCGTTGAGAAGTTGGCTGCAAGGAAGGAGGAGCCCATTCTGAGGCCACCTGACTGGGCTTCGATAAAGATGTTGTATGTGGCATAGGTTGTCCAGATTGGCCTTTAGAACGAAGCTGTGATACAAACAACATTAATTTGCTATGAAATACCTGTGGGAAATGTATAATTCAACATACAATGGATGCATAGGTCTGCCGAGTTGGCTCCTCAACAGGTTCCTCTGGAGTGGCAAGGGGTGGATCTCTTGCAGTATCCAAGGCACTTGGATATGAAGCAGCATCTTCAACAGGAGACTCGTCTACTCTTTCATCAGATTCTGGAAGTTGCTGCAGTGCCTCAGGTATGCTATACTTCTCAACTGCGTCATTTTCTTCCAATGAGGGCACCAAATCCCGAGACTGAACTTGTTCTTCCAGAATGTAGTCAGAAACTGCCGAAATAATCAACAAAGTCAGGCTTAAGATTACAAGAAAGAAATTAGGTGTCCAGATATCAAGGTCACCTTTTCATGCCCTCAAAAAAGACCGCTATAGGCTTTCAGAATATTAAAAATTTGTTCTATCATGATAAATTGGGCCTCAGAGAAGTTTCTCACTCCTTGTTCACATTGTTAACATTTAGCAAATTGCCAAAAGTGGCTTCAGTAATCCTATATAAGCCATACAAGAAATAAAAGTGAACAGACTAATAAACAGAGACATCAAACAGGATGATGCAGTAGTACCCCACTCCTAGAAGGAAGTAGTCTACATGCAGCAACTTCTTCCAAAAAATACAAGTGTGAGATGATATAACAAATAAAGGTACATTACTCCAATCAGACAATAACTTACTCTTAAAAACAGAGGAAACAGACCAAAATGACATATTTTATCAAGATGACCTGACGACAGCAGCTCATTTGTTTCGTATAGTACACTTATAAAGCACCAATAAACATAGGACACCCAAGATACAACAATGCCTTTACTTCTTAGGACATATAGTGAACAAGCGACAAACAAACTTGATGACAACTATGTACTTCACAAATTAAACATCTCAAGTATAAAAAAGCTGGGTGTGTTTGGTTCTAGGGTGGGCAAGTAATGTTCATTTGGAAGACATGGGTCTTGTATACATTTACTTGGCGACTTGGCATGAACAGAATCAAGATCAGGACTGACCAGCAGTGACATGATAGAGACTAGTGGGACCAAACTGACCAAAAAATTTTAAATTCAAAGGAGTGAAGGAAAACAAACAGAAATAAAATGGTGAACTCTTATATATAAAACGTACTTCCTTTGTTTTTTGCATGATAACATTCACTTTAACAGAGATAACAGATATCATTTTGTATTCCTTTTGTCTATTCCAAGTCACTATATCAATTTATAAGTATGTGTCATAAAAATCTTCTAAAATGAAAAGCAAAGTAGCACACAAGGAAACATGTAGCAGCACCACCTTTCTATTTAATTTCGCACAATTTTCCTTCGATACGATTTTATTGTACATGATAACGAAAAAAAATCTGTAAGCTTAACTTATAAAGGTAACTTAGTAAGAATTCTAGAGGCAGTAACTAAGCTGAATATTCACAAAGAGTTCCAATCATTTTCAAAATTGTAATAACTTTTGTTTTAATTTTATTTAAAATTTTATGTGAAAAGGTAGGTACATTGATTAGAAAGTCTCTCGAGTAGTACCATATGATATGAATCATGCGACAGTTCATAAACATGGACAAATACATCCCTACCTCCTTTCATTTCTTCAACATGCTCCAAAGATAAAGTAATGACAAGGCAGCAAATTAGATTTCAAAGTACAGAAGAACATGTCAAACATCTACTAGCAACAAATATCCCTGACAAATGGGGTTGGTCTCTACATTTTCCACAGTAATCATTACCTGTTTCAGGTACAGAACTGGGTGCATTTAAGTTGGTGTCAAGATTGCTATGAGCCAAGATGACTGTTGGGTGCTGATGAATATGTTCCTCCTCAAGTAAGTGAAAAATGTCGTTGAGAACAAAGTACCCTTTCTCCTGAGGAGCAAGAAAAAATGTTTCCACAAATTTCCTCCTGACACTATACTCTTTCAGCTGCACATAACCAGAAACCATCACCAAAACTCCACCATTCCAAGACTCCAAAGATTGAGCTGATTTAATCTCAATCCCATTAAAATTCAGGCACATAACTAGATGATGGATTTGCTGCAAAATGTTAGGATATTTTAGGTAGTGCATAACTATGACCTTGCCAGTTAAAAGAATATCAAAGAAAAAAAGTTGAAGATCGGTGACATATCATTTCATAATTTTATAATTCAATAGAAGGAATATGATACAAAGATTTCTAAGAGCAAAATTACCAGCAAACCTCATAATAATTAACATGATTCCGGTTTACAGACCAGTGGAAACAAAAATAGGTGGTATAGAGTCAAAGGAAATTAACTCCATTTCATATGAAAGAAACCCATTATGTCAACACCCAGCAGTGACAACCTAAAACCAACTAGGACCGAATCCCCCTTGATTTGAAGTACAAACCAAAAGGATTTCGGTGTTCTTAGTTGAATAGCATGGGTTAGTAAACAACATAAAAACTGTCAAAACGTGGAACAGCTAAAGAAAATACAGGCATTCTCATCCAAAAGCACAAAAGTTATGGATCATCAATTTTCAAGGAACGTTGTTCTGGACATAGGCAACAAAACGATTAACTCATATATCATAAAAATATAATACATTATATTCTTCTAACCATTGAAAAATCTTACTCGATATTTATTTCATTACTCTTTGTGGCAAAGAGATGTCTAAGGATTTTGGAAAGCAAAAATATGGAGAATAGAATTCCATCAAAAAGATCAAAGGGGGAAAAGAATCTGATATGATGAACAATACCACCATCCCCGTAGCTGTTTCCGTGGCAGTCCCATCAAATCGCGCCATGGAGCTCACGTCCGTGTAGAACTGATGAACTAGTTCCGGCTGCTGCTGAAGAATCCGATAGTATTGCTCCAAGAAATAAGCACCGACCTGCACGAATCCCAACAAAAGGGGGTAAAATCAACCACAACAAAAGGAGCAAAAAAATCAGGCGAAGATGTTGCTTGAAGCAGATATACTCCGCAGATTCGATTACCTGGACGGCACCGACATGACCAGGGTACAAAGAAGCCATCGCGGCGCATGCAAGGGGGCGGATCTGTAAGCCCTGGATCCAAAGATGAACCAAGCGGTCGATCCGAGGAGCTACCACTTGGAGCGAGACCGCGCTAGCGGCCGGGATTCGACTTGTAGAAGAAGAAGAATAAAGGGGCGGGGCGAGGGGGGGTGCCCTTCCGCTCTTCCTCCGTCTCCGCCGACGGTCCAGCAAACGGGGGATTTCTTCGCCCGCTTTCCTTCTATCTCCGCTCCGCTTCGCCACAAAAGAAAGAGAGAGAGAGAGAGAGAGAGAGAGAGATCTCGAGGCAGCGCGGGTTTAAAGAAGCGGATTCGTGACACGTTTCGGCGAAGATCTGACGCGGGCGGTACGAACTGGCTTACGATGAAGCGATACCAGCCGTCCGATCCGCGGGCCCCGCTCGTGGACGCCGATGCCGAAGCGCCCGCATTTGGCAAGTACGCTTCCTTTCCAAAGCCCTGTCCCACGTTGAACGCACTCACTTTGCTATCACGTGCACGTCACGTGTGTTGAGGAACACGTATTACCCTATTCATCCGACATGCGCATGTCACGTATGATGATAATATACACGAACAATAAATAAATATATACATAGTTCACAAAAATACACTACAAATTTCTTCCATAAAAGAAAATGATTTGGTTAGAAGAAGAGATAAAAATGAGGTCATTCTGTGTCATTGTTTCGAGCCCAAATATGGTATACGATTCAAGATTGAAAAATGGGAATTTTATTTGGAAGAAAATGTAAGAAAAAAGGGAAAGTGATTGAAATGCATGCATAATTATACCATTACAACTCGAGACATGGATACATGCATAGCTCATACCAAATACTAGTGATATGTATGCGATTCATGGAACTAAAGATTTGATTACGGATTTAGTATTTGGCTACATGAAAGTTACCCTTTACAATTTAATTGTTCTCGATGCTTTGGAAGGTTGGAGTAAATTTCAAAACGGATTGGATAATTCAAATTGTAGGTATAATTTAATAAAATGATATTTCATTTTGAATAAATTGATTTTTTATTTTTTGCTTTTTGCACTTTTCACTTTCCACTGAATACATTAATCGAACATTTGGAACACAAACTAATTTAAGTATTAGAGGAGTATTGTCGGATACGCTCCAACATAGATTTTGTAGTCTTTGATTGAATCTCTTAATTTTCTAATACATTGACATGAAACGTAATTGAAAGTAGATATCGATTGACTTTGAACAATAAAAATCTATCAAATAATTATAAAATAAAATTAATAATATATCCTCACTATAAAATGTATATAGTAAAATATATCGATAATAAAATTAATCAAGATTATACTAGTCAAAGAAATTATATTATTTAATTTACTAATTATTTTATTAAATAAACTACAAAACAAATCTATATGAAATACCATGGAATGTTATATTGGAAGTAAATGAACAGTTAGAGTGAGATGGTGTATTGATATATTTTAATTAGTAAAAAAAATATTTATTTTTTCATATCAAGAATTAAAGGAAATCCTCATAAGAGGCAATACTCCTTATCAGTCCCGTATGAAGCACCCAATGGTAAGAACTAAATGGGCCGGTCTGCCAATTCACAGGCCTAAATGTACACGACCATAAGTACCAAAAGAAACCATGGACTACGGTGCCGTCCCGGTAGTATCCCCTGGAGGCGGCAGGCGGCGGCGGTAGAGCGGAGGGAGAGTGAGAGAGAATGCCGGTGGGTCACGGCCTTCGTTCTCGCACCAGGGACCTCTTCTCCCGGCCCTTCCGGAAGAAAGGGTACATCCCCCTTACGACGTACCTGCGTACCTACAGGATCGGCGACTAGGTCGAGATTAAGGTCAACGGCTCTGTACACAAGGGCATGCCGCACAAGTTCTACCACGGTCGCACCGGTAAGTTCTGGAACGTCACCAAGCGCGCCGTCGGCGTCGAGGTCAACAAGCAGGTCGGAATCCTAACCCCGGTTCCCTTTCTTTTTCTCTCTGTCTTTGTTCGTAAGATTCAATTGGTGATTGATTTTGTTGGAAAGGAAAGGCTTTTTCTTTTCAGAAGCTTGGACAAGTTCTATAGGCGTCATAAACTGAAAAAACAGGAACCTTTGGCTGGCAATCTGCACATCGGGAAGAGTTCTCGATCGAGTGTCAAAAGCTTTTGTTAGGTTTAGATGATCTTTTTGATGGATAATTGAATAAGATATTCATTATCCTGGGACATGACATCTCAATTATTAGATCCGACGTCCTTTACTATTGCTAGTTCCAGGTTGAATATGCGTCCTCGCCTATTGCTCATTATGGTCTTATGCCAAATTGGTATTCTTTGTGATGTGAGGTGGGTAAAACAACATTGGCAAAATCTGGAAAAACCAGTCAACTTCGATTCATCTGATGTCAATCTACAAGAACCAAGGAGTATTTTGCTGTGAGACTAGATCACATCATCATTACCTGCAAAAGATTCTATACAGTCATTCCATGACTTGGGCTTACTTTGTATTACATTATCTTCGTACCCAAGCCCAAAACTAAGCCTGACGTTTATACTAGGCTGCATAAGCTTCTGTTTGCTTAATATAATGGAATGAAATCTTTAATTTGTATTTTGACAATCATTTCCTTTTTTACTATTATTTTAGCAGTCATTTTTTTACTAATTGTTTGGCAATTAAGTGATTTGCAAATTGATCGTTTGCTTCGTGAATGATGGTACATGTTGTAGTTTGTTTCAATTTCTTTCTGTGTGGTGTATATTTAAAAGTGCTTCTATGTGTGTTGCGGGTGTCCATGACAACAGCCGCTCTTGCTTGCAGGGTACAGTTGTGTGGATCGACCAATTCCAGATCATGCAATGGCTGGGGCCTTATGAACTGTCCTGCTTACTCTGGTAGTGTTGGCTTTCACTTCATGCCAATTGATGGTGGAGCAAAATTTTCTACTTCCAGGTCGGCAACCGGCTCATCAAGAGAAGGATCCATGTCTGCATGGAGCATGTGCAGCCGTCCAGGAGCCAGGGAAGATTTTCGCTCAAGGATGAAAAAGAATGACCAATTGAAGGCCGAGGCAAAGGCATGTGGCGAGGTCATCAGCACCAAACGGCAGCCGGAGGGCCCTAAGCCTGGCTTTATGGTGGAAGGTGCGACTCTTGAGACTGTCACCCCTATTCCTTACGATGTGGTCAATGACCTCAAGGGTGGTTAGTGTCTCTTCTGGCCAAATTTTGTTTCTCTATATGCTTGATCCTTGCTTTCTTTGAAAGACTTCATTCTATCAACATCAGTTGTCCATGGCAGATGTGAGACTTGTTTATCATGAGTCCACATCGGTCGGATCGAATTTTCCACAATTGAATGCACTACTAGTCTCTTCTCCTGTATTGCCTAATTCATCCGTGTTCACTTTGTAAAGATGTTAATAGTAATATATCACACTGATAGAATGAAGAAATCATGTCTTGGCATCCTCTCTCACTTTTGGTCCTTGCTATACTACTATTGTCATACAAAATCTCAAAGCAACTATGAAAAGCTTGCAAGCTTTTCTATGCACATATATTTTCTTGTCTGCTGCTCAATTTCACAAATCCTCTAATAGATGTATGCAAAAATTTGAAACTCAAAGAGTAGTGGATTTGTATTAGTTTTCTTTGTTTTAAATATACACAGTAGTTGGTTGAGGTGTAAGTTTTGTTAGTTAATCATCAAATGAATGTTTTCTTTAGAAGGTAAATGGCAAATGTGGGATTTGAATTCAACATCTTATGATATAACTAACTGGCATTAATATTATTTAAAATTTTAATTGATGTTAAGAATATTGAGGATCTTATTTTGGATGTTTATAATATTGATTATGTAACTAATATTTTGAGAGGCATTTATGTTATATATTCATAGTGAATAACCCTCTATAAACAAGGGATGCATAATGCATTAGTTCATCTTTTTTTTAGTATATGTTAACATAAATACAGTATTATTGATTGTGATTGAAAATGATTAGCTTGAGTTCTTTGAATGAGCATTAATGAAAGTTAATATATGCAAATTCTCCTTTCAGTAAAATAAAAAAAATTTAATGAGGTTATCCTTTTTTAAATGGCATGACTGCCCCTTAATAAATTGGCCGTTTTTATATATTTGTCAAAATATATATCCTTTTTAATATTTATATATTAAAAAGGGCGTTTTCTTATTTTTTATATTTACCCTTCTAAACTATATATATATATATATATATATATATATATATATATATAGTTTATAGGGGTAAATATAAAAATAAGAAAATATGAAGGATATATGTGTAATTTTTCCAGTAAGTCGCACACTGCTATAATATGAGCCACGGAATGGCGTGGTCGAGCAAAAGCCAGTCGTGGCTTCTTCACGGTAGCAGAGCCGCAGAAGTGGGAGGAGGTGCGCGCAACGAGAACGGCCATGGCAGCTCCGGCGCTCGCCTCTCTCCTCATCTCATGCCCGGTTCGTCATCGAGCCCTGTCTCTGGCGCCAACACCTGCACCTCTCGTAAGCGGAGGTGGTTGCTCCTCTCCTCGACCCCCGGGGGAGCGCCTTGGCCCGACGACGCGGCGGCCCCACATCATCCGCTGCTCGGCGGCCAACAAGCCGTCGCCTTCCACCGAGATCAGGTCATCGACGAGTCCACCCCTCTTGCTTCTTTGTTTCTTTGCGCTCGAATTGGAAAGATCTGAATGATTGCTGTTAGGGCTTATTTATGTCTTGGTAACTAGCGTTACGTCTCCTGTCTTTCTGATTTCAACAAGAATTATAGTAATGTCACCCTGTTCTTCAATTTCTCGGAAAAAAGAGGTCTTTTTTTGAGATTTAAATTTCGTTTTTTTTTGTCTCTAGTTCAACAGCCAAGATAAGAAGTGAAGTCCTCTCACCATTTCGTTCGGTGCGGATGTTCTTCTATCTTGCGTTCATGGCAAGTGGGGCTTTGGGAGGATTGATTTCCATCACGCGGTTGGTTCCTGCTCTTGTCAATTCGTCAAGAGCCGCAGACCTCCCTGAGATTTTAAAGGGGTTTGGGATAGATCTCGGAGCAGTTCTGTTGTTTGCATTTCTGTATACGAGGGAGAGCAGTGCCAAAAATGCTCAGCTAGCAAAGTTATCGAGGGAGGAAAACCTCTCGAAGCTTAAGCTTCGGGTGGACGGGAATAGAAGCATCGCGGTCGGTGATCTGAGGGGAGTCGCACGTCTCGTCATTCTCGCCGGTCCTGCCTCGTACATTGCTGATTCCTTCGCCCGTAGCAAACCTTACACGGATGGACTTGTGGAGCGAGGAGTGCTCGTCGTTCCTTTTGCTACAGATGGAAATACGCCTAGGTTTGACCTCGACGAGATTGATGAGGAGGATGAGGCGATCGTCGACAAAAAGAAGAGGCTGTGGCGGCTGAGTCCTCTTTACACTTCTGAATGGGCCAAGTAAGGGATATTAATTCGGGCCAAACATATCCTTTTATCATTCTTATATTTGCTTCATTTGCAGATGGTTAGATGAACAGAAGAAGTTGGCCAATGTCTCGCTCGATTCACCGGTGTAAGTATTCTGTCGTATGTTGGACTTGGTTTTTAATTTTAGCTGCTTCCATAAGACTCGGTTGGATTTGTAGGTATCTCTCTCTGCGCATGGATGGTCGAGTTCGTGGGAGTGGCGTCGGCTACCCTCCCTGGAATGCTCTAGTGGCACAGTTGCCGCCGGTGAAAGGGCTGTGGTCAGGTCTTCTCGATGGCATGGATGGAAGAGTTCTTTAGGAAATCTCAACTTCTGTATATTGAATGGTACGATCCTCTTCCTTTGTTTATTACTTACTCTGTGCCGATTCAGTGTTGATGGCTGCAATATGTTTAAGATGATGATATATGGCACCAACAGAATCTAACATGAATGCCAAAATATTATGAGCATGAGAGTTAATTATGAATGTGATGCACGAAGGTAGAACAGCAGTAGTGACTGAATTATAGTACCGAATGATAAACGAATGAAGAGCAGACACATTGGAAGCTTTGATCACGAAGAATAATTTTACAAACATGAGATATAATACTCCACCAACTTACTTTTCTGTTTGCAGGAAACAAGAAACCGTCATGGATTATCTAAGCAGAAAAGCAGGTGGGGGGAGGATGACAAAACATGCACCAATCTAAATCTCCATCTTGACTTCGATGAACTTTGGGCCTATATCTCAACAGATGAGCCAAATTTGTAGAGACTCTCCTCGTACTAAACATACATCGGATTACATCGAAGGAAGCGATGTGTTGTTTTAACAAAGAATACAAGAAATACGATACAAACTTCTACATATAAATTATACATAGATCACATGACCTCCAAGGCTGTAAAATTGATGACCGATGAATGTGCAGATCAGGTGTAAAAAAAGAAATAGGATGAGGTTTATGAACAGCCAAAGCATTTTTTCACTGGGGCGAGCAAAGGATCCATGAAGGCTGAGGATTCAAGAGTATCCTGAGATGATAATTTTGGAGGAAGATGTTTCAAAAATGCTTTCACTGCTCCAGAAACACCATCCTCGGTTTCCATGGATTTGGCCAATATCAAAGCATTTTCTTTGACCTATAAATTTTAGAGATTCATATAAGCTCAAATCTTATTTCACTGTAACAATCATACCGACATAATGTAAATATTAGAAGCAAAAATCATAAACCACAACATGAGACAACTATTAAATAATGGTCATTGAAAGTTGACACGAATGCTAGTATTCAAATTCAGGATTGAATTTAAATATTAGCATTCACTCTTGAATTTGAATATTTATGTCAATTTTCACTCGTCCTTGTTTAAGTATTATCTCCTATTATGATTTGTGTTTTTTGTTACTGATATTTGCATATTATTTTAGTATGATTGTTTTTGTATGGATAAAAAAATAAGATTGAGATTGTACGAATCTCTCAAATTTATAGTCAAGGAAAATGTCATAATAGCATTAGCCAAGACAATGAAAACAGAAGATGATGTTTCTGGCGCAATGAAAATATTTTTGAAGCATCTTCCTATAAAATTGCCATCTCAAGATTAATTTTAGAGGAAGATATTTCAAAAATACTTTTATTGCTCCATAAACACCATCTATTATTTCCATGACCTTTGCTAGTGCTACAACATTTTTCTTAACTTATAAATTTAAGAGATTCGTACATGCTCATGTTTCTTCTCAACACGGTTAAAGCAATCAGATTAATAGAACATACAAATATTAAAAGTAAAAAATACAAACCATAATATGAGATAACACTTAAAATAATGAGTGGAAGTTGACATAAATGTTAGTATTCAAATTCAAAAGTGAATTGCAATATTAATGTCAACTTTCACTCACCATTATCACCATTATTTGAGTATCATCTCCGATTGTGATTTGTGCTTTTTATTATTAATATTTGCATATTATTTCAGTATGATTGTTTTAGTGCTGATAAGAAATAATATTGAACTTGTATGGATCTCTCAAATTTATAGTCAAGGAAAAAATCCTGACGTTGGCCAAGGCCATGGGAACAAAGAATGGTGTTTCTAAAGCTGAAAGCATCTTTGAAATATTTTTCTCCAAAAACACCATCCTTTGTTTCCATGGCTAGTGTCATAACATTTTTCTTCACTTGTAAATTTGAGAGACCCATACATACTCAATAATGTTTCTTATAGGCACTAAAATAATTATACTGAGCAAATATTAAAAGCAAAAAACACAAACCACAATAGGAGACAACACTTAAATAATGATAAGTGAAAATTAACATAAATGTTAACATTCAAATTCAGGAGTGAATTTGAATATTAGTATTCACTCTTGAATTTGAATATTTATGTCAAATCACTCACCATTATTTGAATATTGTCTCCTATTGTGGTTTGTACTTTTTACTATTAATATCTGTATATTATTTTAGTATGATTGCTTTAGTACTGATGATAAGAACTAGGATTGAGCTTGTATGGATCTCTCAAATTTACAATCAAGGAAAATGTCATGGCATTGGTCAAGATAATGAAAATAGAGGATGGTGTTTCTGGAACAATAAAAGTATTTTTGAAACATCTTCCTCTAAAATTACCACCTCATGATCAATTTTCAAAAATACTTTCATTACTTCATAAACACCATCCTTTGTTTCCATGACATTTGATAGTGCCATAACATTTTTCTTAACCTATAAATTTGAGAGATCCATACATGCTCAATCATGTTTTTTATCAATCTAAAGCAATTATACTGACATAACATACAAATATTAGAAGCAAGAAACACAAACCACAATAGGAGACAATACTCAAATAATGGAGAGTGAAAGTTGACATGAATGCTAATATTCAAATTCAAGAGTGAATTCTAATATTCAACTTCAACTCTAAATACTAATTAAGGTTTTAAGGACCAACAATAAGACGCAAAATGAAGTTTGTATGTTAATTTAGCACCAATCGGATGCTTAGATAGTAAACATAGATAATGAGATCTGATTTAATGATTTGCTGCAAATAAGAAAGAGTCAATATCAATCTCAGTATGGCAATAAGTGGTTTCCTCTCATCTAGTTCTCATACTAGTCACTGCTGTCTTTTACCACAGAACCACCACCTATCTATTGTGACATCGTGTTTGTTTTTGATAAAATGGAGTTGTGATTTTTTTCATATTGAGGTATTTAAAGAAGAAATGAACAAAATTATAACACATGGCTAACAAAAAATATATCAATAGAAACAATAATGACTTTTTTGAGATGGAAGACAAAACTATTTGACAGTAAGCATCCAAACGGAAGAAAAGGAAGGCTTATCAATCACAGATTGTTAATAAGAAAGAATGAATAAATTTACTTCATGATTATGGCATTAAAATGATTGTTGAGCCAACCAAAATATGCGAAATTGTATATCACTGTATTGCAGACCTAATATCTTACTAGTATGATCATGTCAAGTACCAACAACCATTAAGAAAGTATATAATGCTTGTAAAAATTAACTACCAATCAGATTTAATTCCAAGTCATATTTAAAAAATACTTAAACTCTAAAAGGACAACTTGAAAAAGAACTATCACTGTGATGATAGGAACAAAAACAATAAATAAGAGAAAAAAGATCAAGTATATCCACCTCGGGTTTCATCATAAAGTTTATTGCATCGACCAACTTCTGCAATGAAAATTGATCGACAGGAATAGGTGGAGGTCCTAGTCCCCTAGCATGCACTCGCTCTCCCCAAAAGGGTTGATCACCGAAGAAAGGTATGATGGTTGTCGGACACTACAAAGCCATGGTTAATAAGAAAATTTTGATTGGAATATAAGAACAGCGAAAAGCAAACTAAAACATATGAAAATTAGTACAGCAGCCTTAAGCCCAGCAGCAGTTGTTCCAGCCCCACCATGATGCACCTGAGATGCAAACCACAACAATCAATTCAGAGGAAGGCTCACAATTTCACTAACTAGCATTGTGTCTTTGACATTCTATATAACAAAGTATATTACTAATTTAGAGAAATGAATGTCTAGAAAAAAATAATATTGAATTCAAACAGTACATATTTCTTCAGGTACTAGATTTTGCCTACCTTACAGGCATATTATGTGTAAACTGTGAAGTCCGTATAACTACCTTATGACATGCATAACATTGTTCTGAACCCTCTTGTCCCTCTATAATATTAAGGACATGTTAGGAGCCGACATATCCTTCCATTTTCCCCAAAAGTACCATCTAAGATGGGCACATTTTCAAATTGGTACACTATGATTTCACTCGGATTGATAGATATTGATCAGTATTTACTAGTCTGGGTGAATAATGAGACAGCCCACCCCTTATGAGCGGTATAGGGGTGGTAACCGCTGTGAATCATGCTTACTGCTCGACTTCAGCCCATCACGTGATTGGTACCGAACGATAAGCCCACCTGATGGTAAACCCAGCCCTCAGTATTGTCACTAGATCAAGATCCGAATCCTTGAGGGAAACACTGCGTGGGTGATCAGAAACCAAAAAGGACAGCCTTAGACAGAAAATTCTAAAAACAGGTCTTTTTCAGCGAATCAACCTTCTTATTTTCCTAGAGGAAAGAATGACAAAACTAATCATACAAACAGATTTCTCGGACATCCACATATTTCAAGCAGCTTCTGATATTTCTTGTTCAGTAATCTAGACTCAGCATTACATTGATTTATGTTTTCCAATTCGACTGGGTGCTTGGTCGAGAGAAAGGAAAAACACATTTAACAAAAATGATGGGAAAATCTCACTAATGAAAATGATAAGCTTTAGTAAACATAAAATCCTACAAATACACTACTTAATCATTAGTTGTAACTTAACAACATTAAGACCCAATGCAGCTGTCACACAGGGTCATGCACAAGCAGATGCCTGCAAATCGGATAAATCCACATATTATAAGGTTCCTGCTTTCCTCAATAAATGTCATAAAAGATCTGGCTTCATACAACAACCAAAAGTAGCAATAACATATACCATAAGCGTTAAATCTGAGGCTTACCACTGCCTTGCACTGCAAGAATAGCCAGTCATGTGGAACATTATCCAATGAGTAAACAAAATCCTTGGGTTCCTCCACTGAAAAAAAAAAGGTATACTTTTGAATTATTTGTCGAGGCCAACCATCCAAAGATGAACAAATATAAACTGTAATATAAATATTATGCTTACAACTCCCAAGGCCACCCCAGCCCTTGTTAATGATGCCTCTCTGTTTAGTGATACTCAGTGCCTCCACAATAATCTCCGTCATTTTTCCAGGCTCTTGAACAGGCTACTCATAAAATATCAAAATAAAAAGTGAACAATAATGAAAAATAATTTGTAACAAAAGAGGACCAGGGTTCTTATGATAAAACATCAAACACACTAAGAGAGGCATTGTAGGAGAGAATTTGTAATTGTGATGACAATCCCTACCAACAGTTAAATTCCATATTTTGTACACAGTAAAATGTATCATGATAATAATACAAGTGGAGCAACTTATCAAGAAAATTTATAGAAAATAACATGACAATCCAAGCATTTGAAGATGACTATGTATCCACTATTGAATTAGATACTGGTTTAACAGTATTAAAAAGTTGAGACCAGTTCATGATATTAACAGTTGATCAGGCTCATGCTTAAATAATTTCAATTTTCATAGAGCCTAGAGCTTAGGAATTCAACTTAATTGCCACCATGACTTTTCTTTGAGAAGGCATGGAAGAGTTACCTTGCTGTAGTTTATCCCAAAAACATTCTGACTATGGTAAGTTTTGCTTCTTTATGACCTGGTTAATTAGGGTTTTGGCTA